TTTAAGCTATAATAATTATTAGTACAAATTAATACAATTATGACTAGTAGCACAGATTAAACTCTATGCAACTCTAACTATAAAATACACTTTTCACTATGCCATACTCCTTTTCAAGAAAACAGTCTGCAACATCTCCGTTTTGTAATTATAAATTAAGCAGCCATAAATTAAGTTCTTCCATGGAGTATTCAATTTACATCTGTAGAATACCTGAAAATGGAGGATTGTCGATTGTCTTCTTACTTTCTATCTTGTTCCTATAACAGCTTTACTCTTGACTGACAGACTATTTACAAATGATTTAAATATGCAGGATATGCTAAAGGACATGCCTATTTTTCCTTAGCTTCAACCACTTTTTAAAAATACGATATTGGGGCTGAAGAGATGGCCCAGCGGTTAAGAGCACTGGCTGCTCTTGCAGAGGTCCTGGGTTTGGTTCCTAGCACCCATATGGTGGCTAACAACCATCCGTAACTTAAGTTTCAGGGCATCTGACGCCCTCTTCTGACGTCCTGTGGCCCTGCACCACACCAGTGCACTTAATATATGCAGGCAATACACTCACATAAAAAATAATCATTAAAAATTTTTTTAAAAAAAAACATTACTGAGCTGGGCATGGTGGCACATGCCTTTAATCCCAGCACTTGGGAGGCAGAGGCAGGCAGATCTCTGAGTTCAAGGCCAGCCTGGGCTACGTAGTGAGTTCCAGGACAGCTGGGGCTACAGGGAGACCCTGTCTCAAAAAAGACCAAAAAAAAAAAAATTACAGAAAAACAAGTGTATCTAAGCATAAGTCACTTCAATCTTAGAATGTCATTTCCAGTCACAGGATTTTAAAATAGGCTCCAAGGGGACAGTAATATGGTTTAGGTGGTAAAGGTGCTTAAACACAGGCCTAAAAACCAGAGTTTGATCCCCAGAATCCAGATAAAAGTGAAAAGAGAGAAACAACTCTACAAAGTTGTATTCTAATCTCCACAAGGGCACCATGGAACACTTGCACCCACAGACACATATCATACATACACAAATCTTTTTAAATTTAAATAGGCTTCAAAATACAAGTAGGAAGTCAGAACCCTTAAAAGAAACTATGAAGTCTAGCTATTCTTCTGTTAGAATTGACTGTGAAATTATCAAGAAAGGACACACAAAGTAAGGATACTGCTGTTTATGCTAACAAAAGATATTTGAAAGAACTAACACCAACTTCTAGCAAACAATTATTAATAAGCCTCTTTTAATTAAATATGATTGTTGAAGGTGGGAGAGAAGGAGGAAAAGTTTATGAATATAAGATCTCTGGCATTTTCAGTAAATCTGCCTAAATAAAGACCATGAGAATTTTTGAGCTGCAACACTCAGTGAAAATGTTTCATAGATGAATTTCTGTTTCTCTAGAAGGTGTGGTAAGTTGATTTACATCCAGATCAAAGAAACTGAATTCAATTCATGTGCATTTTGAAACTTATTCCAAAAAAAGACTGTTCTGGCTGACATCCACCACTTTTCTCAGGCCTCTTCCTCTCATGCCTAGCAGCTTTCATGGGCCTCTTTACTTTTTAATTCTAACAGTTGGCTTCCTTTAAGAGGAATTGTGTGTGTCACATATATGCATGTATGTGCAAATGTGTGTGGAGACCAGAGGACAACTTCAGGTGTGTCATTTATAAGGAAAATAAAGTAGTACTGTTTTGTTTTGTTGGTCTTTTTGAGACAAGGTCTCCCTGTAGCCTCTGCTGGCCTGGAACCTGCTATGTATACCAGGCTGGCCTTTAACTCACAGAGATCCACCTGCCTCTGCCACCCAAGTGCTGAGATTAAAGGCATGCACCACCACGCCTGGTATAAAGTAGTATTTTATCACTTGAAAAAAGCTCTATGTGATGACTCTTATAATGGCAACTTGTCACAAATTACAATCACCTGAGTAGAGAGCCTCAACAGAACAGTCCCCAGTGTCTTAACTGATATGGGAAGAACCCACCTCGAATGTGGATGGCACTTCCTGGTAGCAAACCATACAAAAAGGGGAATGGCAGAAGGAAGATTATTCACCTTTTGCTTTTGTTTGGCCTTTCCTCTCACGGTGGAGTTGATTTATCCCATTGCTGCTGATGAGTCCTTTGCTGACTCTGGAACCAGTGTTTCCAGGCTTCCATCATTGACTGGGGACCCTCCAAGTTTTTAGGATCACACTGTGACTGCTGGGGCACCCAGCCCTATGGACTGAGCATCTGCTGAGGTCTCAGTCTCTCCAGTGTGAGACAGTCCCTGTAGGGCTACTCCAACTACTCAGGCATCAAGCCTCAAGGACTCAGAAACTGCTGGGTTCTCAGCCTCTCCCATGTGATTCAGCTGTTGTTGCAACTTCAAAGTAAGCTACTTAATAAAGTATATATACATATGTGTGTGTGTGTGTGTGTGTGTGTGTGTGTGAGAGAGAGAGAGAGAGAGAGAGAGAGAGAGAGAGAGAATGAACCCTAGAATAGGACAATTTCAAAGTACAAAGTCACAGTGTAGTAATGGCATAGTCACTGAATAGGGCCTAAGGCTCTTAATTCTACTAAGAAGATGCTGTCTCAGTGGATCCGCAAATACTATAGCATGGATCTTTATAGTCATACCCAATAGTTAAAACTGCTGTTAAATCCAGGATTGCTTAGAGTTCACTATAGTTAAACTTGTATCATTTATAGTATCACTTATAGTTATCTCAAGTTTAGTATATGAAAGATCTGAAATCAACACTATCACTTTGTAAGTCCTATATAAATGGCATGACCTAAGACTGATTTCAAATCACACACCACCTAATTCATAAGGTTATCATAAAAATAAAAATGGGGCTAGGGAGATGGCTCGCTGGATATAAACATAGCAAGTGTGAGGACCAAAGTTCAGAGCTCCAGCACCACCCAATGCCAGGCAATCTGACTGTAATCCCAGCACAGCAGAGGCAGATACAGAGAATATCCAAAGCAAGCCCAAGATTCTAGTGAGAGATCCTGCCTCACTTGGACAGCAATCAAGGAAGATACCCAACATCAACCTCTGGTATCCACACACACATGCATACAACATGCACCTACACACATGCAAACATGCAGCATGTACACACACGCACACACACACACACAGAAAAAGAAATATAGAAAAAGTGCTAGGAGGCACTAAAGAACTATTAGTGCCCCTATATCATATATCTGAATCTTGTGTTACTTGCTCAAAAACCTTTACAGACAGAAAATTTTACACCTTGGAGATTAAAATATCCAGGAGAAAAAAGGACTATGTACAAACCAAAACAACAACAAATGTATTTATGAATGAAGGTGTGTATGTGTATATTAGAGGAAGAAATCACACTCAGCCTCCCACTTTGTAAATCTATATAAAAATATATAAGTCTCAGTAAAGATTCTTATGTTTCATCCCACATGACTGCTTATAAGTAATTTATACAGTGGTAAATGAAGTTGTCAGTATTAGCTAAAATTACATAGTTTAGTTCTTATTCTACAATTGCCAATTTATTCAATACATAGAAAGTACATAGGCATGACACTTTAATGTAATTGTGTTGTGTTCCTTTAGTTTCCTACTAGTATTCAAGATAGTTGTTAATCTCATGTAATTGTTTATATCATTTGTCTCTCAGTTCAGATGATATTCTTGTTTAATATGTGTATTTATGTATGAGCCCATAGAAGCTTTTGCCTCTGAGTCTGAGTGGGGGGTAGTGAGGTTCTAATGCTGCTGCTTCTAAGACAAGATATTCAAGGTTACTGTCTCAAGCTCATCCTACCTAAACTACAAACATGCAAGCATTAATTATCCTGTTGGCTTAAGACTAGAGGGAGAATGGCAAAAGAGAAACATTCTAAAATCTAAGCAGCAAAGAGGTTTACTTAGACAACAGCAACAGCAAGAAGTTTTAGAGCTTGATCAAATATAAAGATGGTCTTAATTAATTTAATTCTGTTATAAATATGGATTCACACTCCTTTTAAATTGATAAATTTGTTTTACTTTATGATATAACTACATTTTCCTATAAATGTTATCATACTGGTTTATCAGTATATGTTTCTATATGCTACCTTTAGATATGCTATGTAGTAAGTTTATATGATAATATCCCCACAAAAAGGGATCCTGTAAACTTAGTCCAAATTTCTTTCAATGTATACAACTTTAACAAACCTAATAAATGAGCTTAATTTATTGGTAAGAAAAATCACAAATATCTCCAAGGATATTAACATGTTTGGCCTGTGATGTTATTGTTAGATATTTACTATATAATATCCACATCATCTATGTTTCAAAAACAGATCCTGGGTTTTCATAAAATAAAGAGCATGGGAGACAGGCCTGAGCCTAGGGTGAAAGTCCTATTGCCAGCCATACAGCAGGCCCGAGGCAATAACCCAACCACTAGAGCCACAAGGAACGCCTTGTGACATTTGCTCCCATTGGCAGATCATGAGACTGATGCCTAGAGCTCGCCACTCCCTAATCACCACCCTTGGAATCCAAAATTGCAACACTTAGATATTGCAACAGTCAGGGTCACGTGGTTTCCAGGAATCCGAAACTTAGAGAAATTGAAACTTATCATGCTAATAGGGCATCTGGTCTGCTAGATTGTAATAGGATATAGGATACATACTATTCTGCCATGCTAATACGGGCTCCCATATGCTGTGTTATGATTGGACTATTACCCCTATGTAAGCCTGTACTTTCTTGCAATAAAGCAGATCTGTGTCACTGAACCTGGTCTCCTGCGTCTGAATGCAGTGATGCTGGCACAGACTCCTCACCAGCCCTGGGGTCCAGACCAGACGACTGATCAGAGGAAGTGAGAGAGCAGGAGAGCAGCCATAGCCGGAGGAGAGCAGCGACAGCCAGTGACCACACCTGGCACCCAAACGCGGGGCTGGGATCCCCTCCCCACAGAGTTGTAACACTCTGAGCTGTAACACCTTGGGCTCCCGATGCCCCCTTTCTCGGTGCTCTTCCGGTGGTTGCTCGCTGCTTTCGTTTTGTTCTGCTTTTTCTTCTCCCTCGCGATCTTCCATTGGGCGTGCTGCTCCTGTCTTCACCAATCATCTCCTTGAATGGTTCCTGAGTCCCTTTGGGTACGTCTTGCAGGGTGAGTGACCTCCGGTATGGGGAATAGTCATCCAGCTGCTGCCGGCCCCCATGCTGTTGCACTGGTTTCTCTCCTCAGGAGTAGGCAAAGTAGGGTAACAAAAAAGGAAGTAACTAAGGTATTAGATGAAGTACTAGCTCTTGCTCCTTGGTTTACAGATTCCTGCTGTTGGGATCTGGAGCAATGGGCTCATGTGCTATTCATGGCCAGACGAGAGACGTCAGAGCCATTATCTGGGCCATTTTACCCCACTGTGACTGCTATTCTGGCTTTGCTTCAGGGAGTTCCCCCCTCCCCAGCCCCGATGCCCCTGAGCAGAATAATCTCATACTAAAAAACATAAATAAAGCAACAGGATAGTGGGGACAGCCTGTCCCAGGCATTTCCAGTCAAAACCAAACTAACTGATTTCTCTTCTGCTGTGGAAATGATAACTACTGATAATGAGGTAAAGAATGAGGAACCAGAGTTTGATAGCTCCCTGTGTGAAAATCAGGAAGTTAAGACATCCTCTGCTCTGCCATTACAAGGTGGTGGCTACCACCGCCATACCGCCATCTTACACTGGTTTCAAGGAAGCAGACCGCCAGCCACTCCTCCAGATGCCCAAGGCCGAGGGAAGGCAGAGATTCCCGGGTACCAGGTGGCTGTGCTCAGGCGTGGGGGTAGCACTGGGCTGGGGCAGGAGGCTGAGCAGAGATGGGCATGCTCAGGCACGTGCAGCAGCCCCAGGGCAGTGGGCTCCTCCCCGCGAGTGCGGTGCACGGTAGGCCATGCTGAGGCTGTGTGGCCCGGGCTGCATGAGTTGCCACCCAGTGCCCGAGAAGAGTGCAGCCATGCCAGGGCCCTAGGTGTAGCCTGCTGTCACCTCTTCAATGGGCAACCTGCTTGGCGGGGTCAGCTTCCACGAGCCCACCACCGTGGAGGACTGCAACTCCACCTGGCAGACCGACTCAGAACCCGAGCCTGACGAGCCTGGGCTGGCCAGCAGCAAGAGCCAGGTACAGGACCAGCCAGAGCAGCCCACACAGCTTCCAGAGGACACCAGTGGGCTGCCACTCCGAGCCAGCCCCACTCCGGAAGACAACGGCAAGGCGGCGGGCACAGAGCAGGGTGGTGATTCCACAGAAGCAACAGCTAAACCAAAGAGAAGTTTTTATGCTGCAAGAGATTTATACAAATACCGACATCAGTACACACAGAACTTCAAAGATGTAGTTCAGACTCTACAACATCTGGCCTTTGCAGCTTTCCGGCCCTGCCAGAGTCCCCTTGATTTGTTGCTCTCCTCATTACAACTATTACTCGAGCAGCACTCTGCCCCTTGGTATATTCAACATTTATGCTCTCATACCAATCTCCTGGAGCTTCTGGCAGAGGGCAATGCCGCCATTGACAAACTGGTCCTGAATGCCACCCTAGACTCCACCATAATTCAACAAGCTAGAGATTTACACGCCCACTTCCACCTTTCTCCCCAAGGTATACATAGGCTCCTCCCTGCCTTGCCTATTCAGAGCTATAAACGTTTGGTCCGTGCATGCTCTTCTTGTGCCCTCTTCTACCTTTGGGGCCATTACAACCTGCTGGGACCCTCCCTAGAGGTCTTGGCCCCAACAAGATATGGCAAATGGACATCACCCATTTTTCTCCTTTTGGCAAGACAACTCTCCTCACAGAAGTTTTTCCCTTTCCAGGGATCTGTACAGCTCGGGGAGCTCTCAGCCATGTTACAGGTCTTTCGGGATCTCCCTACAACTCCCTGTAATATTTTTTTCATATTATTGACACTTATTCCAATGTCCATTTTGCATTGGCCTGCTCTGGTGAGACGGCTTCTCATGCCATAAGGACGTCCGTGGTCCTTATGGGAGTTCCTTGGCAAATAAAAACAGATAATGGACAAGCTCTATTTGTATTAAATTTTCTAAAATTTAACTCCAATGGCCTCCCACCAGCAATAAAGCATTAGGGGGGCATTCACTCAGCCCACTCCTGCCCCCATGGTGAGATGGAAGGACCTTCTCAGAACAAATGAATGGAAAGGTCCACACCTATTAACACAAGAGTGAGGCTATGCTTGTGTCTTTCCAGATAATCTTCCAGCCCCCATTTGGATCCCAGCCCAATCAGAACTGCCTGTGACGGAAAACCTCCCACCACAACCACCGACCCCGGAGATGGCAGCCCTGACCCTGGAGGAAGCAGCACACCTCTCAGCCACCAAGAGATCCAATGTCGCAGATCATGAACGCCACCAACCTGGGGAGACCTCGAACATCTCTCTCCGCAAACAGAGACATTAGCTAAGCTAAGTCCTCAATCCAGAGGAAAACCTTTGTCTATGTTCCTTATTATGTGTGTCATCATTACTGCTAACTCCTGATTTTTGGACCCTGCATTGTTAAGGGTCTTGATAATTTTGTTAAAACTTGTATTTCTCTGGTTCAATTAGCTGTTGCCCTGCCTCCAGGTCTTGCCAGGCATGTCTCTGCAAACAAGGACCCACTGTTCCTTGCCCTTACCAACCTATAATAATAGACATATGAAAAATAGGCTTGAGCATAGGTGTAAAATCTTACGGAACAACCATGCAACGGACCTGAGACAACGGCCCGACTGCTGGAACCACAGGAAATGCCTTCGATATATACTCCTGTTGGCAGACTGTGAGACTGATGCCTAGAACTTGCCACTCCCTAACCTCCATCGTTACCCCAGATGGGACGACCCCGCTCCATCAGCTTTTATTGAATTCTTGGCCCCTTAAGAGGCCTTTGCACAGGCTAAAGCTTGATACACTGCCTCTCCCTCTGCCAGACCATACCAAGGGACTCACCCTTCGAGGGCTGGTAGTCAATGACGGGTAAGATCCCAAAAGATGGGACAACCTAATCAGGTACAGTCCATAATGCTGGGTGTCCCTTGAGGTGGGGACAACAATGCTGAGGCAAAGAAACTCGACTCCCACTAGTTGGCACGGAGTTGGCCCAGCCTGCTCTCAAGGAAGCTCACCATCTTGAGGGAGGGGGCTCTTGATACAAGGACCCCCTGAGCCATTCTACTTTGCCTTGATGTGTCTGGACTGATATCAATATGCTATATATTCTAAACTATACCTCACCTTTAAAAATAAAAACAAAAGAGGGAGCTGTGGGAGACAGGCTTGAGCCTAAGGTGAAAGTCCTATTGACAGCCATACAGCAGGCCCGAGGCAATAACCCAACCACTAGAGCCACAAGGAACACCTTGTGACATTTGCTCCCATTGGCAGATCATGAGACTGATGCCTAGAGGTCGCAACTCCCTAATCACCACCCTTGGAATCCAAAATTGCAACACTTAGATATTGCAACAGTCAGGGTCAAGTGGTTTCCAGGAATCTGAAACTTCGAGAAACTGAAACTTATCATGCATCTGGCCCGCTAGATTGTAATAGGATACTAGTCTGCCATGCTAATAAGGGCTCCCATATGCTGTGTTATGATTGGACTATTACCCCTATATAGCCCATACTTTCTTGCAATAAAGCAGATCTGTGTCACTGAACCTGGTCTCCTGTGTCTGATTGCGGCGACGCTGACGCAGACTCCTCACAAGGCCTGGGGTCCGGACTGGACGACTGATCGGAGGAACTGAGAGAGCAGGAGAGCGGCCATAGCCGGAGGAGAGCAGCCACAGCCGGCAACCACAAACGAGGTTTTTTTTAAGAAAACGATTTTTCTAAATGCAAAGTTTGCAAAGAAAAATAAGACACAAAGGAACCACAAAGTACAAGAAAGAGATATAAAACTTCTAGGTATAAAAATAAAGTTTTAATTTTAAAAAGGCTTTAAAAATGAAAGGATTTCATATGAGAAAACATGTTTTGTATAGTAAAATCTCTAGATTTTGTCCTAAAATATTTTTTTGCAAAATGGAAAAGGAAAGATGAAAACAATGTCAGAAGGTTAGCATTGTAAGAAGGTGTGAAAAAGATAAAACTTGAAGATAATATTTATATAATGTTTACTATAATTAAAGGCTATTATAAAAATCCTTGGGTTACAGGACATGGTTGACACATGCCAGCCTGGTCTACATATCAAGTTCTAGGCCAACCAGGGCTACAAGGTGAGACCCTGTCTCAAAAAAAAAAGGAAAAAAGAAAAAAAGTCCTTAACATCAAAATTGAATGTACTGTCTAAAACTAAAACTTAGCTTTTTCCTTACAACAATATCTTATATTTATAGAATATTGCTTAGATAATAAAAATTTTATGTTTTATTCACTTATCCAAAGACTCATTTAAAACCTGATGATTAGGTCTGGGGATAGCTCAGTTGGTAGAATAATTGCCTACTATGCATGAGGCTCTGGGTTCCATCCCCAGCACTAACTGGGCCTCATGGCACTGGTTTGTAATCTCAGCACATGAGAGGTGAAGGCAGGAGGTCTAGAAATTTAAAGTCATCCATGGTTACACAGTGAGTTCTAGGCCAATGTGGGTTAAATGAAACCCTGTCTTTAAAAAAAACAAACAAGCCAGGCATAGTGGCACATGCCTTTAATCCCAGCACTAGGCAGGGGCAGGGCATGCACATATGTATACACCTACAAAAACACATTCATATATTATACAGAAAAAAAATTATTTTAAATACTCCAAATATCAAATAAGATATTTCATAGCATAAATGACTATAGACATTGGGAAAACATACAGTCTGTCTAGTTAACAAGTATGATGAAATAGAGGATTTAGTGTTGGTTAAAATATCCATTTTTCTTTAGGCCTTACTATGTTCTAAATTAGACACATACTCCTATTGTATGTCCATGTAAGTGTTATATAAGACACAGAGGATAGACAAAGAGAAAACTCAGATCCAGATCACGATCACTAACATTAATGTAATCCAGGGAACCATCCTTAATGGTTTTAACAACTATTACTTTCTCTGAAAGACTACTTTCCCACCTACTCAA